GGTAGCTGGCTTCCAGATGGTCCGGTTGTGATTTACATGTTTTCATGTAGTCGTTCGTCTGGAACACTGGTTAGCCAGGCTGACGCGCAGCTCCCGCCGTGGCCGCAGCTGGCGGCACCCTGCACAGGCAGGAGGTGTGCAGTTGGGTGGAAAGCAGAGGGGTACTGCTGACAAGGTGGGGGTGCAGGATGGAAGCAGCCGGGAACCCTGGTCAGGGCCACATGGGACTCGTGTGGAAAATCATATGTTCTGTGAATCTTCAGGGCTTGTGGTTCTGAGGTTCGCAGCACCTCTTCTGGAACCAGGTGGTCCCCCAGAGCTTGGGTGCAGGGACTCTATCACCGTTGATGCTGACAGACCTTTCTTGGTTTCCTCAGTTGGCCAAGTCCTGCGCTGAAAGGGAAGCTGGAGTCTCAGCAGCTGGATCTTGGTTGTCCCCACAGCTGCAGCCCGGGGAGAAGCCCTGGGAAGCCTGGGCCCGCACCCCACTCCCCGGGCCTGGGCAGCCCTGGGCGCTATAGTCCCGCAAATGGGAGCCACCTCCGCAGAATGGCGCGCCTGGCCCAGCTCACAGCCTTGTAGAGCTGGCGCAAGCTGCTGGGTGTCCCATTGTCTTGTTTTTAAAGGAAGAAGGGTAATGTGTTTAATGCTAAAATTTACCAAAAAGAATATATTCTGATTAATTTATTAGTCCTCATTTTGAGAGTAGAAGATTTTTAGAAAATGCAAATGTTTTGTATAAAATTTAGTTTTCTGGTGTTTTGGGAGAAGTTGATGGAAGCAAATCCAGTTACAAACCTTCTGAAAATTGTGTGTGTAACGATGTGGACTTAAGTTCGCCATTCCCATTGTGTGTGCACCAGAAACCCAGGTGAATGCCGGAGCTGGGCTGCCAGTAGCTGCACTTGCTTCAACTCCGTTCTTAACAACAAAGATGAATTTAGTGCCATCTTCCTTTTCTGGGAAGGGTCTCTGACTTTTTAGTTCCTGATGGAAAATCTTTGTTTTGCCAGTCGATCCCAGTGGGTTCGACCAGTTGATAAGGTGGATGTCTGGGAGTAAACGAACCTGGAAATGACTTACACTTGCAAGTTTGGGTCATTACAAACATTTAAACTAGTGTCCAGAAGATAAACCTAGCTTTTCTCTGAGGAATAAATCCTCTGGTCCATGGGAGTCCTGGGAATGGTCCCAGCCCTTGACAGACCAGCAGCCCTAAGGAACCTGCACTTCTTGTTACTTCGTTTAGTTGCCGGGGTAGTGCCAATAAAATGATCTTTAAGTTCTCTGGTTTTGAGATTTATTGCATATTTCCAAATTCAGTTCCTTTGGATTTCCTTTATAAAAGAGTGTTGTGTTTTAGTACAGAAACTAGAGATTTATCTTTGAGTTCTGGTCAGTTACCTTACTGCATTTATTTGAGCTTCCTCCTGGCCATGACCTTCTGGGGGGGGGGGTCTGCCTGGAGCATAGGGGTCACCTTAGAACCACTGCCGCGTTTGATACCCAAAACGACACACCTGAGTTGAGGGCTGACTTCTCTCCGGTGCTCTGTGAACATTTCCAGTGTTTGATCCAAAATGAAAAGCTCTACCAATTTTTGCTAAATTCAGTGCCTTTTGTAAATCATTTTTTATTTTCCTGAAACTTGCTTTTTGCGAATGTATAGTGATACTAAGTAGGCGTGAGATTTTTGTTGTTCTAAAAATTCTGAATTGGAACTTGTGTTTAAAAAAAAATTTATTTCTTTCATGTGCTAAGAAGAGACAGGTCAGGAATATTGGAATCAAGATTAAGATTTTAAAATTTAAAAGGTGGTTACCCAGGGTGTTTTTACTTGTGTAACGATCTGGATGTAACACAGAAAAATACATTCTATTCTAAAAGTCAGTGGCATTTATAAAAGGCATCTTTGTTCTCAAAAGAAATTAGAATACAGATAGTACGTTCACTGTTTTCTGTAAAATCCTGTTCCGTTGTTGTAAATATTCAGATGGAAATTAAAAGTGTTTCTGTCCAAATTTTGCAGACTGTGGTTCTTGTATTCTGAAGGTTAGGTTATCTTTGCCTGTTACTCCATTTGTTTATATAAAGTGGCCCTGGCCCCAGCGAATGCATTATCATGTGTCTTAAGGTGATTTTGCATTCTTTTTAAAGATACTTCATAAAATAAGTTATTAAAACCATGTGGTAATAATTCTAAGCTTTCAGAAAGACTGCTCTCGGCGCCTAGGCAAAATGCCGTTTTTAGTAAAATCTTTAGTGTTGGGCGCCTGGGTGGCTCAGTTGGTTAAGCGACTGCCTTCGGCTCAGGTCATGATCCTGGAGTCCCGGGATCGAGTCCCGCATCGCTTCTCCCTCTGACCCTCTTCCCTCTCGTGCTCTCTATCTCTCATTCTCTCTCTCTCAAATAAATAAATAAAATCTTTAAAAAAAAAAATCTTTAGTGTTGTAATGAAAACAGTATGTTAATCTGATAGTGGTGAATTTGCTGGTTTTTTGGCCCTTTTTGTTCCTAACATGGTTGTGAAAAACTTGAACTTTCAGTTAAGCTAGCACCAAATTTCATAATTGCCCTTGGAAATGAGAAACCGTTCTTGTGATGTTAAACAACTGGCGTGTAACTTCTTCAGTTCAAAAGAGGTGAACACTCGGCCACAGTGGGGTGGTGCTGTGGCACCAGCCACGAGGCACACAGGAAAGCCCTCCAGTCCTTGCCTGGGGACAGCCACCACCAAGGTGTTGTAGGATGAGTGCCCACCCCATGGGGCAAGTGTTTGTTTGCAGCTGTCTTGGAAGTCTCCCCAGTGGGAGCTGAACCTGGTCCCTGTATGTAGAGGGCAGGGAAAGACCAAAGAAAGGGCCAGGCCACTCCAGCTTGGGAGGTGGCAGGTTTAAAAAGAACTTATATACTAGGCTCGTCTTGGGTGGCAAGATGAATAGATCCCTGCATCCACACTCCCAGTCTGAAGAGTTTATATAGAAGCCCTATCTGGCTCAGCCCCACCTCACCATCTCAAGGCCATGTCCTTGGAGCAGCCTCTGGGACCAGACAGGTGAGCAGAATCCACATCCAAGGATGGGAGGCTCATGGGTCAACTGGCAGTCACATCTTTCTGAAGACCTTCCTCCTGAACAGCAAGGACCACAGACAAATCCTCTTGAATAATTCTAGGATGTTTGCAGCAACATTGACAGCTTGGCAGTCTATGGCTTCAGATGTCATCGCTCACTGCCCTGTCGCCCTGAGCTGGGTCTGCTTGCTGGGCTGTTCAAGGCACACACTTTTCCTCTTCTGATGTTTTGCATTTGTGCACAAAACCTGTAAGGATTTTCTGGTTTACAGATTGCACTCATGTTCCTTTCCTAACTCAGAAGAAAATATTTTGGAATAAACAGCACAACATAATAGGAACCAACTGCTCTGTTCCCACTGATGTCAGTTCAGGTTCCCTCATGTTACACAGGTTCCTGATTTGCAGGCTTCATTTTGGCCAAACTTAGGATACTGTTGCTGACATCTCAGAAGTCTTCAGTCATCTCTCCCACCTCAGGTAAGTTTCCATCTTGGCATCAGGGGGCCCGTGACCCCATGTCAACACCCACCTCTTGCTCCTCGGCTGCATCCCCCCACGTGGGCTCATTTTCGGTTTCCAAAATGCTGCCCTGCTTCTCAAAGGTCAAGTGAAATGCTGCCATAAAGGCAGATCTGAAGGGGCGCCTGGGTGGCTCAGTCAGTGAAGCGTCTGCCTTCGGCTCAGGTCATCCCAAGGTCCTGGGATTGAGTCCCACATCGGGCTCCCTGCTCCGTGGTGAGTCTGCTTCTCCCTCTGCCCCTCCCCCCACTCATGTTCTCTTTCTCAAAAAAAAAAAAATCTGAAGAAAAAGGCAGATCTGAAGACAGTGCAGAGGCAGCTGCACAAACCCCTTGAGGGAAGGGGGGGCCTGCCACCTCCACCTTCAGGCGTGTGGGTCCCAGGGTCCAGGGCTCAGGCTCAGGGTAGGCTGCCTCCTTCTGTGCTTTGAGAAGTTGGCACAGCCCCTGGCTCACTTGTCAAAACTGTCTAGAAAGTGGTGCATGGTTGGTGCTGGTGGAAAGCCATTTGTCTAGCTCACTGTCCTGGGTCCGGGCCTTGGCCCCTGGTGGGTGGACGCCTGGCGAAGCCATCAGCCCTGAGAACACAAAATACCACGGAAAAGAGCTTTCTGCCACTGCAACTGTTCCAGCAGGTCTGGGGCTGCTCTCTGTTGCGCGCCACGGGTTCCTGTTTTCTTGAAAACATTCACAATCAGTACTTTGAGAAATCAGTAAAATAAAATTTTTATTTTGCAGTTATTTCCAAAGTTACAGAGAAATGGATCAAATGTCCCAATTAGTTGCACTGATTGCAGAAAATGCTCATAACCACTTCATAAAAATTGTAGTTTCTCCTAAATTAACAATATTTGGGATGGACATATCACATCTAAAGAGTTTAATCCGTAAGCATAAAGGATTAACAGCCAGAGGCAAAGATTGAAGAGGACGCCCGGCTGTCCGACCACCATCCAGCCACCTCCCTCACCTGCCAAGGTGCGGCTGGGTGTTGGGAAAGGCCCAATAGCGTCAGAGGTGCAGGACTCTGGACTGAGAAACTGGTTATCAAAGCAGGAACCCAGATGAGAATCTTTAGTTGACGAGTATTTAAGTGATAAAAGGGTCTTAAGAAAGGAGAAGAATGTACAACAAGAAGTTCTGAATGGAAGCCCTGGCGGCCCCTCCTTGGAGCCTTGAGGGGCTCGTGTGGCCAACTGTGGTCACGACCAAAGACGCTCGTGTGAACTGACCGCGGTCCCTGCAGACGACATGAGTGAGGCCTTGTCCTGGAAGACAAGGCAGAAAACCCCAAGAAAGAAATCAGGCCCATCTGCTCCGAACAATGCCCTTTTCCATCCCGGGCCGGAAGTACAGACTGAAATGCCACATTTTAGTTATTTTAGATATTCTTCGTCCTTTTTCACTGTCGTCCTGGAGAAGTGCGGTGTAACCGCAGTGCAGCCTGTGGAGGGAAGACAGGGAAGGAGCCGTGTCCTTGGCAGCACCCACGGGAGCCACAGGGGGACTGAGGAGAGCAGGGCCTCCAGGCAGCCCTCAGGAGCGGGAGATCTTGTCCGGAGGCATGAACCCCGTGTCCCCGAGGGTCCTGAGCGCCACTCGGCCATCTGGCCGGACCACCAGGTGGGTGATGCTGCCATTGTTGAGAGACAGGCGGAGCCAGCCTTCTGGAGGAAACTGCAGCGCCCTGGAAGGAGAAAGAACATGCTAGAACAGGGCTCTGTCACCAAAACAGGCTGGGGTCAGGGCAACGCTAACAGCCCCCAACCTCAGTTAAGGTCTCGGAGCAGACTTTCTTGGGGCTGGGGCCCATGTAGGTAAGTCTGTCTCCTATTTTCAAGCAGGGGGCTTCTCAGAAATGAGCTGCTGGGCTGATGCCATCCCATCAAATCAAATAAGGGGCATGGTGACAGCCCAGCCCCTCTTTGGGTCAGGGGATCGACCCAACTCAAGATGGGCATGTGAGTCAGAAATCCATGGCTTCTTACAAGTGCATGCAATTGAACTTCCAGTGTAACCAAAAGGGGGCAGGGGCAGTGCCACGGATCCGCTCCTGACCCATTCTCCCCTAGGAGCAGGGTGGTGTAATCCACAACCCCAGAGCCTTTCCTTGCTCTCACACTTCCTAGGCGCAATATTTGCTGAAAAGCCCAGTATCATCATGGCTTCCCCAAGTCATCAGACGTCCTTCATGCCCTAAATCTCTACACGGATGAGGGGCATCCCCGTGGCTCACCCTGCAGCCTTGGCAACAACTACCTTCATGCTGCTTTTTCGAGTCTTCTCCATGTCTCCCTCACAATTTCCAGAATGCCCTCACGTATCGTGACAGGGATGCTCCGGCTCCTTCTAGGAGCTGTGCTCCTTTATGGCACACAGGTCACCTCTACTCCAAGTCCCCGAATACTTCTGGTGTTTTCAGCATTGGGGTCACTTCTAGTGGCTGCTTAGGTCGGCCTGTCCCAGGGTGTGTTCTAACATGGGGTTTCCACAGAGCAGAGACACCCAGAGCAGCTATCAGGGAAGAGTGTGTGATGAGCACAGGAGCTCTGAGACTGTGCCTTCTCGGAGTGCTTTGGTTTGGAGGGTGTGGAGCCCCGTCTGAGGCCCACCCCTTTCCCAGCAGCACTCCACCTGGCCTGGAGCCCTGTGAGCAAGCTGAGAAGCCTGGCTCCTGGCATCCCTGTGCCCCCTGCCTTGGATGTCCTGGGCTTCTCACCAGAGGCCGTGCATGTGACACTGGAGGGGAAAGGGCCCCCCTCCATCCCCCGCCCCCCAGCCCTGACAACAGGCTCAAGGGTCAAGCACGGTAAGCAGGGACCCTGAGCCTGGATTTGGAGGGTTTCACAGGCCGGCCGGCAGGCTGTGTCCTGGTCCTGCCACTGTCAGGCACCGTCACACGACAAGAGAAAATCCCTCAGCTGTTAAAATGCCTGACACACACTTTCTAATGGATCAAGAGGGTGGCTGGGGTTCCAGTCATTTCACATTTTGCACTAAGTGAGCTTTGGTCAAACACATAAGCACCCAGCTGGCCTAACTGCCTCCAGGGCCCACTGGCCCGTGGCTGCACCTCAGGGCAGGTGTCACTCAGCAGGCTCTGGAAGCTGCATTAGTGCCAGGAAGTGAGGCAGGTCCAGAGGACACAGGACACAGGAGCCTCCTTCTGGGGGCCCAACAGCCAGAGCAGCAACGTGACCAACACGGTGATGGGTTATAACCCACAGTGCCAAATCCATAATCCTACAAATAAATGAACGGAGAGTAAGAGTGAGCGCTTATAGAAGAATTCCAATTAACAAATGAGAACAGAATGAGAGAAAGGCAAAACCATCATTAGGCAAGCGCCACCACAGTATCTGCTGTGGCAAGACCCACCGACAGGGGCTAAATTCAGTTGGTATAAATTGGAGGGAAAGAGGATTTGCACTGTCTCTCAAGACGCTTACCAATCACCAAGGGGGGAAAACACGATTGTACAGTGTGAGATGTCCAGCACACAGTGCCTTAACCAAGTGACCACGTCAGCATCACCCAGAACGTGCCACTGACTTGGGGCACCCCAACCCGCCTGGACTGCATCTGTGCTGTTCCCGCCAACAACGCATAATCATGAGAAACTTCAAACTGACATTCTACCAGAAGGCTGACTAGGGTCTCCTGGAAAGATGAGCCGGCAGAGGCTGGCAGGAGGGAAGGTGGGCCAGGGAGCCATGTGTCACCCCTCACCGGCACACAATGTAGCGGATGACATTGGCATGGCAGATGAAGATCTCGTAACTGTCCTCCTGCTGCTTAGCATCTGCCCGGTGGATGTAGTTCCGGAAGGCAGCCTCGATCCGGGCTCCATCTTCATAATACTGCTGGGGGCAGGGTAAGGAACCTTAAGTATGGAGGCAGCATGCAGGCCACAGGTAGAGGGATATGGGGAGAGTGGGCCAATGGGAGCGGGGTGGGGGATGCTCCCCGGGGGAGTAGGGGTTTTACCACAGCCTCCGGCTTCCAGTGGGACACAGGTGGGTCAGGCTCGATGGGGGCGCCTTCTCTTAGCAGGTCTGTGCTGACCTTGCAGACACCTGCAGGAGAAGCAATGACTCAGTGCTGCTCCTTCAGGAGAAGCTGCCCAGGGCCCTCTGCTGAAATCCTGCTGCCCAGGGACCTGAGGATGCCCGGCACTCACCTGGGAGGTGTTTGCTGATGATATCAGTGGTTTCTATTGCACGGGTCATGGACGAATGGACAATTTTATTAAACTTCAACCCCAAGCTTGCAAGTCGGAGCCCAGTTAGTTCAGCCTGTTCGCGACCTTGAAAATGAAAAACACCAGAGAATTACATGTTGCTGGAGTTCCTCTTTTGTTTACTTCACAAATACTCCAGTCGTTACCAAGTACCATTAGGGCTGGGGGACAAGGTGGGCAGGCCCTCCTGGGGCTTGGGCCTAACTGGGGCGCCAGGCAGTCAACATGTAAAATCAATGAGATAATGCAGTTACCTTCAGCCCCATACAGAAGAAATGTTAAACAGTGACCAAGGTTGAGGATCACTGAAGTCTGGGTAGGGTCCTGTTACTATTTCTGGGTCCTTCATGCCACTTTTACTCAATTTTGTCCAAAGATTGAGTTGCAAAGTGCCACTGACCCACCAGTTGTGCAATCATCAGAGATACCAACACGTAAAGACCCAACGGCCTCAGCATTACTAAGTACAGGCTGCGTGTAAACACAAATCTTTTTTTCTCAAATATATATCTTAGAATCTGGTTGAAAATGCCCTCAGCAAGTCAGTTTCAGCTGCATGCGGTAGCACCTTGGACGTGGCTTCACTGCTCATGCGGCACAGCAGGCTGGAGAACAGGCTGCTAAACCCTTTATAGCATCTGAATTTTTTAGTACGTGCACAAATGGGTCATATCCTGTCCAACAAAGAAATCTTTACAAACTTAAAACTCTATCTCAGACCACCCTGTGCTTCCTCTCCTAGGAATTTCTTCCACAGATATGCTTGCACGCCAGCATGAAGACCACGGCGGACGTGCATGCCCAGCAGTGCTGCGCATGGCGGCAGGACTCCGCGATAAGCAGCACTTCTGCCAGGGGGATGTGAGAGCCGCTATCACTCAATCTCGTCTGTTTACCATTATGAAGCCGACTTTAAACAGATCTGCAGGTGCTGAACAGATGGATCTTCAGCAACAGGTTAGGTCGAGCCAAACAGGGTATACACGGTACGCCACTTGCAGAGCATGAGTACAGAACACCTCTGCTGTGCTTTGGATCTGACCACCTGCGAGATCCACCATATATTTTTTTAAAGTTGAGGATGTTTTCAATGCCCGTCTTGTGTCAGTTAGGCTGATGATCACTGTTAATGACAATTCTTTTTTAGATTTTTTTTTTAAAGATTTTTTATTTATTTGAGAGAGAGAGAGAATGAGAGATAGAAAGCACGAGAGGGAAGAGGGTCAGAGGGAGAAGCAGACTCCCCGCCGAGCAGGGAGCCCGATGTGGGACTCGATCCCGGGACTCCAGGATCATGACCTGAGCCGAAGGCAGTCGCTCAACCAACTGAGCCACCCAGGCGCCCGTTAATGACAATTCTTGAATCTAGGCCAAGCCCCTGACATAGGTCCAAAGGGATGGGTGTCAGTTGGGGCTTGAGCCCCAGCACGTACCGAGGGGCGTCAGAGTGCGGTCCTTTTCCAGGGAGGCATCCACATGGTACTGGGAGTGCCTGATGAGGAAGATGTGTCGCGTGGCCTTGGCTTTGCAGTGGTCCAGCCTGGATGCCAGTTCTTCTTCTCCAGAGTCCAGGTTCCTCTTCCGCAGGTTGACCAGGGACAGTGGTTCTCGCCTGATGTTGAAAACGAGAGGTGTGTCCTTGTGATCCCCACTCACAAGTCAGCCTTGAGTATTTCCGACAAGACAGTATGTCCATCTTGGGAAAGCGCAGGGACAAGACAATGCCCTTTGCACTCTGCTCTCTGCTGCTGGCCCCTGAGAGCCCAACCTCTTTGGAGCACATTGCATTTACTGCACAGAGCTCAGTGCCTGGCCTGTTCTGGGTGATCAAACGCAGAAGCGAAGCCCTCGTGCAGCTTATATTCTAGTGAGGAGACTGATAAAAACAGCCAGGCGACGAGTGGTGTGCAGAAAACAAAACCGGGTAACAGGAAGGGGCAGCTGGGGGAGTGCCCACAAGGCCAGTGTGGCCTCGCTGACGCAGAGCCTGCAACTGTGCTGTCCAACGCTAGCCACTGGCCATGTGGCTACTTCAACTCAAAATAATGAAAATTAAACAAAAATATTGCTCCATTTCCCCGGTCACACTAAGCACATTTGGAATGTCTACTGGATGGCACTCCTGGAAGGTTGAGGAGGAGCTGAGGGAGCAGTGGGGGGTGAGGGCGTGGGGGGCACCAGCAGCCACATGCTGAGAAACGGCCAAATCTTATGAAGACAGGCGTGTCTGGTGGCTCCCAGAACTGAAATTAATAAAAGCTAACGGTCTGTGGTATGGGCAGAGCTAGGAAAAGACTGTCCTCAGCTGGGACAAAGTTGTGACAAGATAAGTTTTGAGGGGAGCAGTGGCAACTCAGGGGTCCTGCTGGGCGAACCTGGGGTGCCCTAATACAAACAGGCTGAGAAGCCACACCAGAGCCCAGGGCTGGGCCAGAGAAGACATCTGGGCACTACAGGCAGAGACACAGAAAGCCCAGACTGGATGAGGTTCTCCAGGAAGAGGCTGGACATTTCACCAGATGAGGCTCTGGAACTTTCCAGCACAGACAGCCTCCCCCTTCATAAACCTAGACTTGGTGAGCAAATACAGTATGTCAGCTTCAACCAATACAGCTAGAGTCCAGTGCTGCTTCAAATAAGTCCTTTAATCTCACAGTGAATGTTTCCTTAAAAAAAACTAAGAAATTCAGAAGACTGTACTGACGTTTGAAAAAGAGACTATGACCTTGGTCGAATCATGAGAAAAACAGACAAATCCCAATTGAAGGGCATACTATAAAATTCCTGATTACCACTCCTCAAAACTGTCATCAGTTTTGATGTCAAGGTCATCAAAACAAGGAAGTCTGAGAAACTGTCACACCCAAGAGAAGCCTGAGGACACATGACTAATTGTCATGTGGGATCCTGGAAGAGACAACAGACAATAGCTGAAAACTGAGGAAATCTCAAAAAAGCATGAATGTCAGTCAATAATAACATGCAGATATTAGTCCACTGATTGTGACCATTACACCATACTAGCATTACAAGATGTTAGTAGAGTAAATCAGGGGTAGAGTATATAAGAACTCTTATCTTTCCAATTTTTGTATAAATCTAAAATGGTTCTAAGATTTTTTTTTTTTTAATTAAAGATTTAAAACAAAGACTACTAGGGGCGCCTGGGTGGCTCAGATGGTTAAGTGTCTGCCTCCGGCTCAGGTCATGATATCAGGGTCCTGGGACTGAGCCCAGGGATCGGGGTCCCTGCTCAGCGGGAGCCTGCTTCTCTCTCTTACTGTGCCCCCTGCTTGTGTTCTCTCTCTCTGTCAAATAAATAAATCTTAAAAACAAAAACAAAAACCAAAGAATACCTATGAAGTTCCTGATACAAGTAGGCTGCCAGTAAATTCTGTACCCCTCATTCAGAGTAAAGTAGGAAGGACGAGCTGGGATCGGATAAACCACCCACAAGGGCCACTCCCAGACTCCAGAGCAGTGCTGTCCAACAGAAACACAACACCGGCAACATATGTACTTTAAAATTTCCAAGAAGCTACATTTAAAAACTAGAAAGAACAGGTGAAATTTCAAAAATTCACTTTATTTAATCCAACGTATCAACAATACTATCACTGCAACACATAAACAATATAAAAAAATCTGCACGGCTTTGGTGTTTAGATTTAAATTCATTAACATCAACTAACACTAAAAAACGTTTCCTGATCACAGGTGCACTTTTCAAGTGCTCAATAAGCACGTGTGGCTTGTGGCCACGCACCGACCCAAGACCTGGAGGCTTCCGTTCCTATTCAAGAAGTCTAGCCATGTCCTTGCCCATGTTCCCTGCAAGGAGTTCCCTTTAAAGACCAGGCCATCACCGTCCGGCCCCACATCCACCCTTCTCTCAGCTGTTAGGCAAAGATGGGGTCAGTACGCCACCATCCAATCCGAATGCTCCCAAGTTGAGCGTGGGAAACCAGGCTGACAGCCTACAGGCAGGTCCGACCCTCTCTCCAGGCCTGAAAGCGACCACCTCGGACTGCCCCGCGTGCCAGGCAAGGTCCCAGGCACCACTGTCCTCCTTCTTCCAAACGACCCTCTGGGACAGGCGAGGCGGCCGGGGCTCGGAAGAGGGGTCGCGGGCGCCCCCGATCACAGCCAGCCTCGCGGCCACATCCGGAACACAAATCCGCCCGCGAGCCGGCCCCGCCTGCCCCTCTGCGGAACCGCCCACCCAGGACAGGTACGCCAGGGGCCCGGGAGGGTCCCCACCGCCCGACAGTCGGCGCGCCCGACGCCACCCGCCGGCCCCGCACCTGTCCCAGTTGGGGTCCCAGACGCCCGGCCCGGGGCGAGCGGCCCCCGCCCACGCCGGCGCCTCGACCACACGCGGCTCAGCGTCCCCGCCCGCGCGGGGCTTCCCCACTGCTACGGCCGAGAAGAGGACCGCGGCCGAGCCTCCCGCCAGGCCGCAAGCCGCCAGCTGCAGCGCCTGTCGGAACGCCATGCCCGCCCGTCCCGCGCCGGCCCCGCGCAGGCGCTCAGGGGTGGACGGCGCGTCGCGAGGGACACGATTCCCCAGGTGTCCGCTTCCGGCCGGCGGACAGAGCGGGGACGGAAGTCCCGCCCCCGGGGCCAGCGGGCCGCGGGGCGGGGAACGCCCGGCCGGTCGCAGACGGTTTCCGGGAACGCAGTGGAAGAGGCGTGGTGGGCGACGGTTTTGAGACCTTTTTCCCGGGTCCTGTGCTGAAGGCCCCGGTGCAAGTCAGTCCTGCTTTCCAGCAGCGAGCGTTGGCGCTGCGCCACCTGTTTGCGCCGCGCTGCCCGTGTGGAGCCGCCTTCCGGGGCACAACGGGAGCATCTGAGCCAGCGGCGGGGGGGCGGCGGGACGTGTGTGTGTGTGTGTGTGTGTGTGTG